CCCCAAAACCCCAAAACCCCAAAACCCCAAAACCCCTTTTTTATTTTTAGATATTGATAATTATATATTTATTAAGTATATGGAAATAGACCAGGCAATCTTTGAAAACTTCGTTGCAAGCGGGGTTCTTGATAAGAGACACGCTCAGAGTATCCAGGAAGAACAGAAGAAGGTTATGCTACGTAGAGAGGCTGCCACAGGCATCGAGAATGGCATTATCATTGGGGGTTACTTCAGCCACATTGCTAAGCTAATGATTGCGAATAAGCAAGGTGTCTCTGGCGTCGACCTCGACGCGATCAAATCACTTAAGAATTCGGTTACGCCAGCTGCAAAGCTGTACAACTGGGATATCCTATTGAAAGAGATTGAGGTAATTTTCCTTGGGAGATTGAAATTTGTTTCAGAAATTTAGGAATACTTCATGCTCAATTCACCTCAATATGTCAAACTCAGTTATAATCATTATTTTAGAAAGCCAATATTCAAATTGATAAAGACACCAAAAGCCTAATCTCATCAGGAGATGTGGATATGATCAAGGATTTAGTCAGCAGGCTCGTCGCCATGGAAACAGAGATCAGAAAAGAACTCAAAGCAAAAGAACCAACTAAATAAGCTCGAAGATATCAAAGAAGGCATTGACATTCTGACCATGAGTTCTTCCAAAGAGCCCACAGATACAGACTCTTCTTTGGAACTTATGCTCAATATAATGTGCAAATCGTTCAAAATGAAGCCAAAGCAGGCAGCAGCCTTGCTAACTAATTCGAACCAGTACTTGCTTCACTCAGTCGTGAAGGGGCTCAAAGGCAATTACGATCCAATAGTGAAGTTCTACAGGAATATGGCCAAGTATGTCCATCATTTGTGAAATCTGCTAGAGCTTGAAGCAGAGAAAAACCAGAACAACCTCACCATGATCATGGTGATCAACGCACTGAAAACAGGGCTGTTCTCGTACAATGACGAAGTCATTCTGTGCACATGCGAACTCCTCACTAAAATTTCTGAGGTCAGCTTCGATATGAAATTCTATCCTGCAGTCTACCAATGGTTTATAACGACAACACAAGAAGGAGGTATTTCAGCATTGCTGTATATCCTAAAGAAGCATGAGGACCTGATAGGCCCAGTTGTGTTCACCATGGTTTCATTCGCCAAAGGGAACCTCTCGAACATTTTGAAAGAGGTCATCAAGCCCCTCTATCCCTCTCCCAGAGAGTTCCTTGCAATTATCAATAATTTCACACATGTCCTTGCCGAGAACGAAGAGACAAAAGCAGAAATGCTCGAGACAGGACTCATCGACTACTGGCTTGACGAAAATATTGCTTTGGCTGATAATGAAGCGAAAGCATCACCAGAAGAGCGTACCACTTCAATCGCCTTTGTGTGAGATTTGTGGATTCTGTTCCCCGAGAAGCTTCAGCAAAGAGAAGATGTCCGAAGTCAGACCATCAACGTCTTGAAAACACTGTCAACTGATAAATTCCGGCCTTTGAGAATCTGCGCAAATGCACAAATGTTCAGGCTTCTTGAAGCGTTTAGTAAAGACCGAAACCCAATTGCTCCAACAATTTTTAAGAATTTGGCTTACTCTCTCATTGAGAATCATGAAGACCCAACGACAAAAGAATTCATGATGAAGAACTTGGCCCAAGTCATCGAAGACATCCCAGCCATTCCAGTCGTGTTCATTGCAGACCCGTTAATTAAGCTTCTCCAGGAGGATGAAACAGCTGCGTACACGACGCTCTAGACTTCGATTTCTTCTGAGCATTGGCGAAGCATCCCAAGTTGCATCCGAGGAATGCCTTGCCGATGATCGATTTCTTGGCTAAAATTTACTTGAACGACCTGTCTTACGCAACCTGCAGTAGTGTTGCATTCATGGCCATTGCATCAAGGTTTCACGAAGAACACAACATCAAAGGTAAGGAGCCGTTGCTCATATTTAGAGTTCATCATCAAGTATCTTACTGTTTCGATTACAAAACTGCTGACTGTTGAGAAGGCAGCAGAAGACCAGACCAGCGAAGGCAAAAAGAAGAAGCTCCAAGAGCTCTCGTTAAGAGGCAAGAATGCTAAACAGAGAGAACGGCAGAAAAAGAAGGAGGAAGAAGAGGACCTTGAAAGAGGACTCAGGAAGTCTTTCATCATTGAACTGGCAAGGAAGATACAAAATCTTAGAAACGAAGACATCAACGAGCATTTGAAAGGTCTGTGTCTCACCACCAACAGAAGAAACAAAGACCTCTTCAAGCGACTCAACATCGGAATCCTGGTCTTGCTCAAGTTCTGGGGTGACCCCAAGTCTCTGTCAATGAGATATATTCAAGAAGAAGAAGACAAAGAAAGAAAAATCAAAGAAGAAGAAGAACGCAAAATCCGCGAACAGAAAGAAGCCGAACGAAAAAGAAAAGAAGAAGAAGCCCTCGCTCTTGCTGAGATCAACTCAGAGTTCAGAGAAACTGGCACTGGAAAGAAGCTAAGGAGAGGCGGCAAGAGCACATCTGCTTTGGTTCCTTACTCAAAGACGCCTAAGAATAACATTGCTAGAAAAGCAATGCTCGAGCTCGACAGAATCAAGATGAGCATCAAAGAAAGAGAAGAACTCAGACTCAACGAGCAGAAGCAAGCTCACCTTAAAATCGAAAGGCAGAAAAGAGCTCTCAAGAAGAAGCTTGACAAGAGGAAGATTGAGCATGGAGTCGCACCAAGAAATAGCAAAAGCGCGAAGATGAACATTGTATTTGACGAAGGTGAAGTAGAGTACAATAAAGTATTTGACTCGAACACTGGACTCCCACCAATCGAGCTGATCGACTTGGAAGATGAAGAAGATCGAGACATCGAAGCGATCAAAATATTCATGAAGAAATATTCTAAACTGTGGAGATTCATGTTCAAGAAATATGCCAACTTGGGCTTCTCAGTCAAGCAGGTCAGGAACTTCGACATGTACCATGATAAGTGAGAGACCATCAATCTGCCAGAGTTGACGATGTTCTTGAAAGACCATGGGTTCAAGCAGACTCATCTGACCAGAGAGGAACTTGCAGCTCTCATTAGGCTCGTCAATTTAAAGAAAATCAAGAAGTTCGATCTGTCAGCACTCGATTACAATGGATTCTTGGAATTCCTGATTCAGGCTTCTCACTTTATCTACAGCCGGAAACCTTTCTTCATGGACAATCTGCCCCTTATCGAGAAAATTAATGCATTCTTTAAACAAATGGAAAGTGAAACAAAGAAGCGGAAAGAGTCTGTGGTCCTGTTTGAAGACCCAGATGCGACTGTCATGGCAGATCCTGAGTTACTGAAAGCTCTAAATAAAAAGCTCAGAGAGAACCCTGAGTACCCAATTCCAGAAGGATTCAAGAAAGTCAAAGAAAAAGTAATCACTCATAACTACGAAGTGCCTAAGTTTGTCGATCTTAAAGAGTCGCAGGCTATGGCGCTAGAAATTCTTGACGAGTTGATTCTTGGAAAATTCAACTTCCACATTTTAGAACCCATTGTCAAAACAGAGGTTGTTACAAAGATAAAACCGATTATCCGGAAAGAGTTTACTGACAAGAAGCGGGCTGTTCCAAGATACCTTGACAGTCTCGAAGGAAGAGTCAAGCCGAAGGCGCTCACAGACAAGATCGGAGTGAACCCCGTCAACAAGACAAAGTATTACACTGAAAGGAAATTCAACCTGACCGAGAACATGCGACTAGAGATTGTCAACCAGCCCATGGTCAAGAGAGCCCATATGCAAGAATGAGCAGAAGTTCTCTGAGAAATTCTTGATGCTGCTGAGAAAGGTCTCAAAGCTCTGCCTCCAAGAAACAAATACGGAAAAGGTGGACTCAAAAACAAGGGAATCTTGATGAGAGAACACCTTGCCCACCAAGAAGCCTTGCTTGAAGAAAAGCGACACAAAACTGTCAAGAAGATCAACAAAAAGTGGAAGGATGAACTCACCAAGAGAGACGAAGAGCGCAAGCAGCTTCTCGAAGAGACCAGAGCTGACCGGAAAGCAGAGCGCAAGCTTGAGTGGGAAAACAGGAAAAAGCGTTACGCTGACCTTGTCAAACGCAATCAAGATAGAGTCCAAGAGAAACAGAAGCAGCTTGAGGAGCTTGCAGCTGAGCAGAAATAACTATGAAAAAGAACAACGAGATAAAAACAAAGGCAAAAGACAGAAATGGAAAGAAGAGCATGAAGAGTTCCTTGAAAAAGAAAAGGAGAAACTCCAGAAAGAAATGCAAGCATTAGTTGGCGAAAGAAATGAGCTTAGCAAAGCCAAACAAGAGTTTGCACAGAAAGAGAAAGATGTGTTGAACAACGTTAAAAACAAAGTCATGAAGTACTTTGAGAAGAACAAAGACAAACTCAAATTTGACAAGAAAGAGAAGGAAGATGTGGGCAAGTTTGCCAAAAAGAAAGCTGTTAAAGAAGTACTTGACAGATACGATGTTCCTTTAAGGTACTTCTTCGACTTCTACTCCAAGTCAGAGCACCATCAGATCGCGTTTGACCTCGACAAGAACATGGAGACCATGAATTACAAAGAGTTCATTAGATTTGGGTACCAGTCCAACATTGTCCCTGCATTGTTGCCAGTTGAAGAAATGACTCATACATTCAGACTGCTTGTGAGGGAAAGACAAGACTCGGTTGGCAGTAAGATATCAGTCCTCGACTACGACTTCTTTGTGAAAGCACTCATCAGAATTGCAGCTCTTTCACAAGACTACCTTGGAGGTCAGAAAGGAAAAAGACTTGAGAAGCGAATGGAAGAAATTGAGAAGGAGAAAACTAAAACTCGAAAACTAAAGAAGTCTCTTGCCAAGAAATTCCAAAAGAAAAGCTACCAGACTGACAATGAGAGTGACCACAGCTTAGCTAGAGGGGGTGACGCCAGTGGAAATGAGACTGAGAGAACCGATAGAACTGCAAAGAGCAAGCTGGAGCTCACACAGAGGGGAGCCAAAAAGCCACGCAAGAAAGTCATTTACAGAGGACTCAAAGACACCACTCTCAAAAACACTTCTGTGCTCAAAGACGTAGTGAGCGAAGCTGATATCTTGAAGAGGAAGTCCAAGAATGTGAACGCTCTGATCCAAGAAGGCACAAAGGGACAGGTTTATGAGCACTTGAAGCATGTCAAAGTTGAAGACAAGAGAATCACTCGCAGAGTTGATGTTGGACTAATCACCGAAAAGACAATTGAAGCATTGCTAAATTACCTGCAGCTGCTTCCTGAAGACAACAAGTACACTCTTGACAGAAAGCTCAACAAAGTAGTTCGTTACAATGCTGGAGTTAAGCCGAATAGAGTTGTCAAAAGAAACGTCCCGTCAAAAGCAGAAATTGTGGATAGAGATTCATCTTCAGGAGAAGAAGTTGACGGTAAAAGTGACAAGTCTCCTGAAACTGCAAGGTCAAAGACAGAAAAAACAGAAAAGACCGAAAAGTCTGAAGCAGATGATAGTGATGGGGAGACCACAAAGAAATAATCCTCATATCAGATCAATGAGAACATAAATTAAAATGATCATTAAATTAGTTTCTTCAATAAGAATGAAGCTTATAGGGGTTTTGGGGTTTTGGGGTTTTGGGGTTTTGGGG